CATACACCCAATACTAAATGCAATCATGTGATAAATCTGTTAATGTGCTGCTGCTTCTATTCAGGTGAAAAAAACTGCTAAATACAGACAATGCACATAAAGCATTGCCTAGTGGTATAGAAGCAAGGTGTAATTCAAAAAATACAAGTCAATAAAATCACCAAAAAATGCATCTCAACAAAATAACCAAATTAAGTGCTGATATGAAGTGCAGATACTAGCATTTACAATCTACACCCAGTTATATAAATAAACCTATTAATAGGCTGCTGCTTATATGCAGGTAAGACCTGTTACATTGAAACCAAATACAATAAAAGCACTGCCTAAATATGATACATGTACTTAAATACAACACAGCAAAAACTTTTTTTTTAAATGTTTGTTTGTTTGTTTTTTAAAGAACTTTAATGTGGAAAATAATGTCCTTATTGCCAATAATCAGTGCAGTGGTTCTGTTGCAAAAACAGTATGTGATTAGTGCTCTGTGCTCCCCTCCTGTGCGCCTACCGACTCACCAGATTTATTGGACTCTTATGGTAAATAAGAGTCGTGCATGCTTTGGTGGGACATGTGGAGCTCCTGATGGGTCTTGTAGTCCTACTGATTTAAGTGAAGTTTATGGTGCTCAATCATTTAATCATGAAGTGGAATATATGCATGCAAGGAATGGAAAAGGCATTTGAATAGTGTGATACCATTTATTAAGTAAAAATAACATACACTAGTAATGCACTCACATGTCTCCAAAATAAAACAAGCATAAACGCTGACAAGAAGGCAAAGCAGCCCCTTGCGCTCTTCAAACACCTGTAGGGCGTCACCACAGTCTGTATCTAATGTGTTTAACCCCTCCCACTGGGTGTCCTCAGAGGCATAGGGCCGTGGTGATAGGTAAACTCTTTTATATGTTGTAACTCCGCCTGGTACTCTCAGTATATTGCAATCCCTGCGTTGGCCATCTTGCTAATCCCAAATGGAAACCGGATGTATCGAGAACCGGATGTGCGTCCTCCGCCATCTTGGTACACTCAAAGGAGTGTACACACCGATGTTCTCATGGTTGTGACAGGTTGATGTATCAGATTGATGAGAAAAAAATCGCCCCTAATACCACATTTCGGGGCCAACTACATAACCCTGCTGAGTACTATTAGGCTTTATTGCAACATACTGCAACATTTCAATGAAGAGGGGTCTTTGTTATGATGTATTCTAAATTGGTTAGATAGGCTATGGTGAAGGAAGCCTTTTTTAATGTTTCTGACATGTTCTCTGAGTCCAACCCTGAGCTCCCTTGGTGTCCTACCCACTTACTGTAATCTACAGATGCACTCTAGAAGATACACGAAATGTGTGGTACTACATGTAATACATTTTTTTTAATCTCATAACCCCTTCCTGTGTGATTAGATTGGAACTGAGTGGTCTTTTTCTTACCCTGTGTACACGTTCTGCACATCATGCATTTACCACATTTATAAAAACTCATTTGATTCAAAAAGGTGACCCTTTTGACAGGTGGATCAGGGACACTTTTAACTAATTTGTCTCTCAATGTGGGTAGACGTTAATACATGACTTGAGGGCGTTTAGGAAGAACCTTAGCTAATGTATGATTTTTCAGCAATATAGGCCAATATTTTATGAATTCCCTCTCAATTTGCTTATACTGTCTGTTATAAGTGGTACAGAAGGTCATACTGCAATCCACTTGTTGTTTTGCTGGTATCTTTAATAATTTCTATCTATCCATCTTCTTGACCCTTTCTTTGATTTTATACAGTTCTGGTCTCCTATAACCTTTCTGTATAAATCTTTCCATCAATATATCTACCTGCTTCTCAAAGTAAGCATCCAGATCACAATTTCTACTAATTCTCATCATTTGACCCTTTGGGATGGCTCCCAATCACCTAGGATGATGTCCACTACTTACTGGGATATAACCATTATGGTCTGTAGCCTTGGAGAATGTACGGGTAAATAATTTATCCCCCTTAATGTAGATTTCCTAATCTAAATAATTGATTGGGATATTACTATGTGTGGCCGTGAATAAGATACTATATACATTTGTATTCATCTCCTTTAAAAATTCTAATAAGGTGTCTTTTGTTCCCTCCCATACAATGAATATATCATCGATGTATCTTTTATACATCAACAATTCCTTTCTGCTATGTGAATGGATAAACTCCACCTCCCATCTACTCATAAAGATATTCTCTACTGTGGGTGCGTACTTCGCGCCCATGGCTACTCCTTTGGTTTGTGCATAGAAGTGTCCCTCATGCCAAAAATAATTACCTTTCATAGCCAATGCCAAAAGTTCCAACATAAAGGCCCATTCTATTGCTGATAATGCATCTTTTTGTTTTATGTTAGTGTATAATGAATTAACATCTATGCTGGCTAGTATACAATTGTCACCAACCCTCTTTGATGACAATAAATAAATAAGATCTTTGCTATCTTTGAGATATGATGGATAATTTTTGTGCTATAGGCCATAGGAAGTGATCCAGATACTCTCCCACTCTGGAGAAAAGAGAGTCCACCCCATTAATGATTGGTCTTCCTGGTGGATTTCTGATGTTCTTGTGGCTTTTAGGGACTTGATAGATAATGGGTGTTTTAGGTGCATCAGGGATTATATACTTGGCTTCCTGTTTATTCAAGATGCCTTCCTTTTGAGCCTGTCTGATTATTTTCTAAAGGTGGAATGATTCCTCAATCCAATATGTTGGTATTGTGTCTCCTCTGGGGTCACATTGACTCCCTTTCCCTGCAAAAATTATTTAGATTTGGAAATCTACATCAAGGGGGATAAATTATATACCCGTACATTCTCCAAGGCTACAGACCATAACGGTTATATCCCAGTAAGTAGTGGACAACATCCTAGGTGGTTGGGAGCAATACCAAAGGGTCAAATGATGAGAATTAGGAGAAATTGTGATCTGGATGCTGACTGAGAAGCAGGTAGATATCTTGATGGAAATATTTACACAGAAAGGTCATAGGAGACCAAAACTGTATTAAATCAAAGGGTCAAGCAGATGGATAGAGAGAAATGCAGCAAAACAACAAGTGGATTACAGTATGACCTTCAGTACCACATTAAACAGACAGTATAAGCAAATTGAGAGGGAATTCATAAAATATTGGCCTATATTGCTGAAAGATCATACATTAGCTAAGGTTCTTCCTAAACGCTCTCAATTTGTGTATAAATGTATACCCACATTGAGAGACAAATTAGTTACAAGTGTCATTAATCCACCTGTCAAAAGGGTCACCTTTTTGAATAAACGAGTTTGTATAAATTTGGTAAATGCATGATGTGCAGTACACAGGGTTAGAAAAAGACCTCTCAGTTCCAATCTAATCACACAGGAAGGAGTTATGAGATAAAAAAAATGTATTACATGTAGTACCACACATGTCGCGTATCTTCTAGAGTGCAGCTGTGGATTACAGTATGTAGGTAGGACACCAAGGGAGCTTAGGGTTGGATTTAGAGAATATGTCAGAAACATTAAATAAAGCTTTTGTCTCCATAGCCTAACCATTTCAGAATACATCATAACAAAGAACCCTCTCCATTACATTTTTGCGATATAGATAGGGAGGAGAGACATTGGAGAGGGACTAAAATGAGGCAAGCTATTTCGAGAAATTAATCCCAGTGGATCTATTATTTGGGAACTATGGCTCCCAGGGGCCTCAATATTGAGATGGATCTTAATTGTTTTATTTCTAATTTTTAATGTTTAATCTTTTTGTTATTCACTTAAGTATTGTATATTTTATGATTCATTTTATGTTGCAATGGTGTGTGTGTGTGTGTGTAGTTTCCGGGTTCGGCAGTAGGTGGCCTATGTAGCTATAACCTTCCATTCTTAGTTTCATTTTCATTCTATTTTAATTTCATATTTCTTGTATGTTGCAATAAAGCCTAATAGTACTCAGTAGGGTTATGTAGTTGGCCCCGAAATGTGGTATTAGGGGTGATTTTGTCTCATCAATCTGATACATCAACCTGTCACAACCGTAAGAACATTGGTGTGTACACTCCTTTGAGAGTACCAAGATGGCAGAGGACACACATCCGGTCCTCGATACATCCGGTTTCCATTTGGGAGTAGCAAGATGGCAGACACTATACGTTCGGCCAGGGATTGCAATATACTGAGAGTACCAGGCGGAGTTACAACATATCCAGTTGGAGTTACTTACCTATCACCACGGCCCTATGCCTCTGAAGATGCCCAGTGGCAGTGGCGAAACATGTTAGGTACGGACTGTGGTGACGCACTACAGGTATCTGAAGAGCACAAGGAGCTGCTTTGCCTTCTTATCAGCATTCATGCTTGTTTTATTTTGGAAACATGTGAGTGCATTACCAGTGTATGTAATTTTTATTTAATAAATGGTATTACACTATTCAAATGTCTTTTCCATTCCTTGCATGCATATATCCCACTTCATGATGGAATGATTGATGTCGTGTTTCACATGACTGTCATATTGACTCTCATATGCCTTTAAGAGTGTGTATATTTTGTTTCAGCTCCTCCCTTTCCTTTGGTTTAGTTAATGCTGTATAGATAGCCCTCCTATTTTCACAGAAATGCATTGCAGCTCTAGCCTCATGTCATGGAGCAGGAAACATTATGATCGGCCCCCCGAACATCGAGTGAGGGAGTGAATGAAGGAGGACAGCTGACCGCCCAGTAAGTGTGCCGTGCTGATGGTGCTGCTGAAACCAGGTATGCTGACTGCAGCAGCACCTAGGCTGGAGCAGGGCTCAGCAAGTTAAGTGTTATTGGTGTCAGTGGGAGAAATAGTTCCCCATGATTGATGTCACTGATACTAATGATGGGGCATTATTCCTCCCACTGACACCAATGATGGGGCACTATTCCTCCCCCCACTGACACCAATAACACTTAACTTGCTGAGCCCTGCTCCAGCCTAGGTGCTGCTGCAGTCAGCATATCAGTGTTAGGAACAGTGCCCCATCATTAGTGTCAGTGGGAGGAATAGTGCCCCATCATTGGTGTCAGTGGGAGGAATAGTGTCCCATCATTGGTGTCAGTGGGAGGAATAGTGGCCCATCGTAGTCAGTGGGCGGAGCTCTAATAGGAAGAGGTGGAGCCTAAAGAGGAAGGGGTGGAGTTTGCAGGTGAAAGGGTGGGGCTAATGTAGATGCGGGGGCGGTGCCCGATTTTAGTCTTGCCTAGGGCAACACAAAACCAAAATACACCACTGCTTACACTGTGTCACTGGGAAAAAGAGCTTGCTGTGCCACCCTGAGTAGGTAATTCAGTAAACTCAGAGGTCCTGAGCCCTGCCAAGGCCCATCCCAGGCCCTCTGAGTTTCCAGTTTCATCTACCCAGGGTGACAGGTGGCACCTTTCCTCCAGTGGTACACTCTCTAATCAGCCCCCGCCCAGCCCAGTACAGCCCCTTCCCTCCTGCCTTGTTCAGCCCTCTCTTCAACTGTGCATGTGCACACAATGTGGAGGCAGGCAGGCAGGCCACACTCTGAGTTGCAGGGTGAAAATGGTGGTCTTGTATGTATATTTGGAAGTCAGAGGGCTCGCTCACCCGAGGTAGGGCCCAGGGCAGGCCATCTGGGTTTTCCCTTTTACATACAATCCCACCACTTTCACCTGGCAGTTCAGAGTGTGGCCTGCCTGCAACACCTTGTGTGCACATGGAAACATGAAATGAGAGGTGGAAGCAGCAGGTAGTAGTGGGGGGCCCCAAGTCAACTTTTGCATTGGGCCACAATTTTCAAGCTAACCTTCTGATGTCCCTCCCTTTATGATTGGAGGACAGGGTGGGAACAGAGCCCACGGGGGATCAGAAAAGGTGGTAGGGGGGCTGCAGAAGGGAGAGGATGCAAACTTATTCAGGTATTATTCTTCTCAACAGAGTCTAGGAAACTCTTCTGGTATGAACTTATTACAGAGGCAAGAATGCAGCAGCAGATGGTAGCAAAAGCATTAAAGGGGCTTCTAGATTCTGATATGTTCCCCATGCATAACTTTACATTCCTCCTACCAGGGGTGTTATATAGCAGCGGCTCTTGCCCCTATCAACATGAGGGCATGTTAAGGGCATGTGGCTTGGTATGAGTCAGGAGGAGGGTGAATGCTTTTTGTCTCTTCATTTCCTGGCCAACCAGGCTGCATGCTTGGATGAGGCTGGTATGGGCAACCCTACCTTTTGTTTTGTTTGTTCTTTTGCATGGAGTCCCCTCCTTATATTTCATACTAGACCCCTGTCTAGGATAAGGGTCTGGTATAGATATTGGCAGAAACCCCACATTTTTTTTTCACAGCATCAATGGTTTTTATATTTTATAACAACAAATGACTGTTCGATGGGTGAGGTACATAACTGGTTCTAGGATTTAGATGGTCAGCCTGCACAGCATCCCTTTTAGCTAGGATGCAGGTAGTGATACCACCACTCAGGGGCGGACTGACAATTCATGTGGCCACCAGGCAATAGGGGATCATGGGGCCCCTGTGTCCTTGCCCAAACTCAAAAAAGCCTATGAAAAAGGTACCAGGGGCATCTCATGGGGCCCCCTACTGACCCCGGGCCCTCGGGCAGTGCCCAAGATTCCAAATGGTCAGTCCGCCCCTGGTGCATGATGGGTTCTGTGTAGAGTGGGTTCTGTAAGTTCAGTTTCCTTTAAACTGTCCCATTTGCTAAGGGTGATTGATATTGCCTTTAGACATTTTTAGTCATATGTTCACCCTAAACCATTGAGTTTCAGGATGATCAAAAGTAGTTAGTCTTGGAGTGTAAAATCATTTACAACTGGCGCTGGATTAGAAAGATGATTGACAGCCACATTTGGGCTTATGTAGATGGGCAAATTCATTATGTTTTCAGGTGCATTTTGTTGGAATTTAGATCAGCTTTAGTTGTTTATGAGATCATGTTGAGTTCCTTCACATCCTTCTTTCCTTCCTTTAGATCCTTCCTTCTGATCTCGCAGTGCCCGAGTTTTCAAATGGTCAGTCCGCCCCTGCCACCACTACAGGAATGACTTCTGGCCAGGGAAGGACTGACAACTCATGGGGCCCCCGGGCAATAGGGAATCATGGGGCCCCTGTGTCCTTGCCCAAACTCAAAAAAGCCAAATGGTCAGTCCGCCCCTGCTTCTGTCTGCAGCATTTAGATGTTTGGTGGGCAGGTGAACTGACCATTTGGTTCACCCATTCAGCAAACTGCAAATTTGTAAAGTTGAGGTCGAACTCTACATTGTCGCAGGCTTGAATCTCATCCCTATTACTGTCTCTACTTTTTAAGCCTGAGCTTTATTAAGATGGTATAAGTATAAAATGTTTTGTAAAATGCAAAACAAAGGAGAATTTGGATTTTTTTTCTAAACCATTATAGTACAAGTTCTCAATAAAATAATAAATAAAAATATTTGCTAAATAAGAGTTAGTTCACATTAGATCTGTAAACAATTGTGTACACCTGTTCAAACACTTAATTAGCTCAGACATTAATTATTCACTTGGGACATACAACATCAAGGAACCTGCGACTGTTGTAATACAACTATATAAAAAGGAAAATATTGGTTTAAAGAGGCTATTGTTCTCTCGGGGACACCTCATTTTCCTGCTGAGATTTTCTTGCTTTTTTGGTATGTTAGCACTTCTATTAACTAAGTATGATTTTTTAATAATGTAACTTGAATTATAATCTGTTTATTCTTTAATATGTATTGTGACATAAGGGCTGACAACTTGTTATTGCAATGATTTCATTGTACTAGTGCTAGTATTTCCCATCAGCTTCACATCTGCCTTTCAGAGTCTTCAACAGTTGCAATATCTTCCACTGGTTAACCATCAAAAAAAATAATTTAAGTTTGCACTGTAAAAAAGAGAAATGTAGTATAACTTGTGACAGTGTTTTAGCTGCTTTACAAGCATATTCCAAGAGGAACAAAAAGTAACTAAATATTCTTGTAACAAACCTAATGAATCTGAATAATTGCGCTTGCAGTCTCATGCATGTCAATAACATCTTGTACACAAGCTGCTGGGGAACAGGGACTGGCTTGTGTGTATCTGCACAGATGAATCAGGCAATTTGACCTCTGTATTTTCTCTTACCCTAGGTTCACACCTAAGCATTTTCTGCAGAGTTTTGCATTTTGCAAAAATGCAGTATAGTCCATTTAACATGATTTCCTATGGAACATATTCACATCTGCGCATTTTCACTCAGTGCATTTTTTGGAAAGGGTCAGGGACTTTTTTGAACGCAAAAAGTTGTGTTTTTGATTCTATAAACTTCAATGGAAATGCTGCAGAAAAGCATGTATTGCGTTTTTGCTGCATTTTTTTATGCGTTTTTCATTTTAAATCTGCCTAGCAACAGTAAAAATGAAAAAAAAATCCTCAAACGCATAAAAAATGCAGATGCAAAAACGCAGTGCACAAACGGCTCAAACACAACCCGCATAGGTGTGAACCTAGTCTTAGTGTATATATTAATTTAGCTACAAAATAGTTAAGCTCTACAATGCAAATTTTTTGAAAGGGATGAGTTTCATTTGAGATAAAAACATGAAATTACCTCTTGAGAAGCAGAAGGGAGTGTAATATATAATAAAGACAAACAAGAATAGACGGTGTGGATAGAGTACCAATCCTGTATAACAGCATGTTAGAAAGCATAACATCTGATGTTGTCTAAAGCACATCTAAACCCCAAAACAAACATTTTATATATTGCAGCTTATCAGTCTTTAGATGTAGTGGCTACATTTCCTTTTTTCAGACTATTTCCTTTACTTTTACCAGGCGATCTTGACAATAGCATTGTGTTGTCACCCAAGGCTGCTCCTCTAATTTAGACTGCAAACACCTCTCCCTCTCCTCATCTGGAATACAAAGGGAGGAGGTGATTTGTAGTCCACGAAAAAAAGCTGGGAAAGCTGATAAGTCCACACACAAAGTTACAAGGACACTGGATTTGACACGATCAACTGTGTGAGAAATACATGGGAAAGGCAAAGAAATAAAGCCACCACATCTAAGGACTGGAAACCTGCAATATATTACATTTTTATGTTTGAGCTTAGATATGCTTAAGAAAAATTCTTTACAGCTACATGGGGGGGGGGGGCACATATGACCCATATATGAAACAGAAGTAGTTATGATATCAGAGAGAATTGAATTATACATGTTGTAGCATGTGTAATGTTTATACCATTTTCACAGTGATATAATTTTTACAATCAGATATTACAACAACTGCAAAACAGATCTTTGTATCTACCCTTGGTAATGTTCATGTTCTTAATTTGCATTACAAAGACTGTGGGACTCTTCAAAAATGTTTTAAGAAACTATTTTAGAATGGCCTTGAAGAAGAATGGAAAGCAGAATTACCAAATAGAACTAGCCCTATAGTAGTATAGTATAGTATAGTATAGTATAGTATAGAATAGTATTTTATAATATTAATAGTATTTTGGATATTAGAATGTATTTTCGAAACATTTTCCTTCTGAAAGTAACATTTGCCAAGTGTGTATTTGGGTGGAATTTAATTAAGCGCTTTCCGTCCGCCCTATGCATCTACAGGGCAGCACAAGTGTGCAAAATCACTTATATATATGATATAATACGTGATTACTCGCCGGCGCCCGGTAAATAAATAAAATAGTTCTCACCCTTGTCAGCTCCTGCACACTGCTTTGCATGGCCATGCAAGCCATGCAAAGCACTGTGCTTACAGTGAAGCACAAACACACGGCCCCACAGTAAAACAGCACACAGTTAACCCTTTGATCGCCCCACATGTTAACTCCTTCATGTCCCCCCCCCCCCCCCCACCCCGCCTCCCAGGTCTCTGAGAGTGCATCCACTGATCCATGAGTCAGCCTGATGCAAACAGTTGATGTAAGAGGGCACTCTGTTGGGGACAGTTGATGTAAGGGGGAATCTGGAGACTCTGATGAAAGGGAATACTCTGATTGGGACCCTGATGTATGGGGGAACTCTGATAGGGATCCTGATGTAGCAGGGAACTCTGATAGGGACCCTGATGTAAGGGGGCACTCTACTGGGGACTGTTGATGTA